CCTGAGCAAAGCCTGGATTTCCTCTAGCTCAGAGTCTGTAATCAAGTCAAACTCACGGGCACCACACTGACACAGTTCAGCAGCAGCCAGGGAGAGAGTGTGATGCAGAGGTCTGCTCAGAGCGTTGCTTGTTTTTCGGGGGACATGGAGGGGGGGTGAGCACTCCTGAGCTAAGATCCAGTGCAGAGCCGCCTCAAGCTACTGGCTTACGGTGCTGGATCCGCATTTCAAGGAGGCCGTGCATGTTTTGCTTCAGATCTGCACATTTCTTTTCAAAATACTACTCCGCAGTGGCCAGTGCCAGTGGAAGTCTGACATGAAGGCAGCTGCACATGGATTCGGGTTGCACAGGGCTTCTGTGGTGGTGTGACAGGGCAGCGGTGTGTGGCTTTGTTCCTGCAGGGAGCCCTCGTTAGCTGAGCGAGCTGGAAACAGTTCTCTGGAGTACAGATTTGGAGGCAGAGCTCCGAGAGTTAGTGCGGCGACATGCCGAGGGAGAAGTTCACTGCAGTGGCTTGTGCTTGAGTGACGAGGTGTATGCGGTGTCAGGGCAGGAATGATCTGTGCATGGGAACCAGGTTGTGACAAACGTGCTGTGTTATTGAACGGGGGACCACAATTCACTCATTTATCAAGTATTTCCTGAACACCTACTTTGTTCAGCGTTTTCTACGCACGAGGGAGACAGCAACAAACAAGATAGCGAGGATTCCGGCTATTTGGGGGCTAATGATCTAGCAGTTTGGAGGGCCCAGAAACATACACCATTTCCTGGTTTTCCAGTCTGCTGGTGATCTGACTCTTGGAAAACCAGCCCTTGCGTCCCTGCTTCCAGTCCTCAGAGAATTCGCCTGAACTGGCCCTTTCTGAGCACAGAGCATTTCAGCTACGTGCTTTTGTTCCCTCTCCTGATTTCCCAGTCATTAGAGGAAGAATATTCTCCAGCTCTGTGTTCTGAAATGTCACTGGGGTCACCTGAGTCAGGAGGAGATGGAAGGTCCCATCAAATATTTACTACCTCCCTCTGGAAGCCCTTGCTCCTTGGAGCTATGGAGTTTTCTTTAAAGCCCGGCACCAGCACATTCCGTTTGGGCTTCCTGGGGACACCTCTAAGGCACAGTCTGAACAGCAACAGCAACAAACTGACCACAAGCCCAGGCTGGGACTTTCATGTCAGAGTCTCTGGTCTCCTATGACAGAGAAGAATTAGTCTTTCCTTCTCCTTGTCTTCTACATTAAGATTTCTGTCCTCAGGGCCGAGGATTTAGCTCAATAGTTCAGCCACCTGCCTTGCAAGCACAAGGACCCGAGTTCGATCCCTGGTAACAAAAAACAAAACAAACAAGATTTCTATTCTCAGAGACAGGGTAGAACCGAGGGAAGGAAAATAAATTTCTGAATACAGGAACTTTCAGGTAGGATCTGCTTAGGGTGAAATATATCTGGGGAAGTTTATCTTTAACTTCTCTCAAATTCCAGCTATTTCTACTTTTTTTAAAAAACCTTATGAATTCCTCAATCAAATGAAAGCTCTTTTTTTTTTTTAACTTTCAAAATAGGGATATTCATAGTACCTCAAGAAGAGTCTGGAGCCAGGTACGGTAGTATATGCCTGTAATCTCAGTTCTTTGGAGGCTGAGGCAGGAGGATCACAAGTTTTGGGCCAGCCTGGACTATATTGACCCTGTCTAAAGCAACAACAACAAAAAGTTTGGAGATTTAAATGAGATATGGAGCCAGGTGTCGTGGCCCATGCCCGTAATCCCAGCAATTGGGAGGCTTGGGAGGCTGAATCAGGAAGATAGCCATGAGTTCAAGGCCAGCCTGAACTACAAGGCAAGACCCTGTTTTAAAAAAAAATATATATATGTATATGAGAGATGGAGATTTTATATATATATTTATGTTGGCCCAATGCATGGCAGAGAACAACAGCTCTATCAGGTTTATTATCATTTTTGTTATTTGATAAACTTACCAAGGGCATCATCTTCCTGTCTGCAATGAAGTCAGGGAGGAGTAGGTTCAGAGTGACACCAGAGATACCAAATTAGACTCCTAAACAGGGGAAGCAGGAATTAAGATTCTGCGTGTGACCTCGTGGGATATCCTTATTGCCTGCAGGGAGACGTGTGGTTTGGGGGCCCAGGCAGAGAACGGAGGCTTGAATGACAGTACAGCTTCACGTTCCAATCACAGGGCTGTCGCTTTTCTACCTCTGTGACCTTTATCTCTCTTCTTGGTTTCTTCATCTGGAAATGAGATCGATGGGCTGAGGATGTAGCTCAGCAGCATCGTGCCTGCCTGTCTGGCAAGCTCGAGGTCCTGAGTTGATTGATCTCCAGGACAAAAAAAAAAAAAAAAAGAGAGAGAGAGAGAGAGAGAGAGAGAAGTGAAATCTATAAAAACTACCTTACAGAGTTATTAAAAGAATTACCCAAGGTTAAGGATCGCAGATACCTGGCTCATGGTGGGTACCAGATGAAGGGCAGGTTTCACTAATGTTATCGCTCTTATTAATAGAGTAATTGTCTGAATAAGGGTCTGTGTAAAGTATTTCAAAAGCTGCCTCTGAGCTGAGTGAGGAAGATTATTAAAGGAAGGAGCTAAACGTCAAACGATCATCCCTGGTTCCCTCTCTGTATTGCCCACAAAGGACCTGCTGCCCAGTTGCCTGGAGAGACACTGTGGTATCAGAAATTAAGTCGAAATCATCTGGGCACAGTGGCACATACCTGTAATCCCAGCATTCTGGGAGACTGAGGTAGGAGGATCACAAGTTTAAGTCCAGCCGTGGCAATTTTGTGAGATCCTCTCTCTCAAAAAAAAAAAAAAATAAATAAATAAAAATAAGCTCAGTGGGTTTGCCACCTGACTCACAAGCCCAAGGTCCCGAGTTCAATTCCTGGTACCAAAAATAAATAAACAAATAAAACAGGTCTGAGGATGTAGCTTAGTGCAAAGGTCCTAGGTTCAATCCCTACTGTTTAAAAAAAGAAAAAGAAGAGAAAAGAAAAAAAATTAACTCAGAATAGGAGTGATTTGAAGGTTTTGGTCTAGGATTATTTCACAAGCAGGCTTTCTTCTCTTACTCTAAAATTGAGAAGAAATATCCCTTGTAGAGGAGCAGATGTGAATAAAACCCATAGCTTTGTCCTGCTCTTTCGCTTTTCCCAGCTATAGGGACGTCTCTTCCGATTTGGACAGAACAGCCCATTTCCCACGCTGCTTATCATTTATTCATGAATGAATGCTGGCATCATCAGGACTTGAAAGTTTCCTGGTTGCTGTCGTTTAAATTAGGAGAGAGGCCATGATGATGGTTTGGGTCTTGGTGGACTCCACGCCCCTGGGCTCTGTTCTGGGTTAAGGACTGTGTGTATTCGTCATTGCTGCCCTGGCCAAGTCTCCTCTGCTGTTTTTCTCCAGGGGTTGGGGAGGGGAAAGAGAAGGTCAGTTTGTGGTTGGCATCGTCCACAGGTGACAATAGAGGCTTTAGTCAGTTGGGTAAGAGTCTTCCATGATGTCTGCCTTTTCTGGAAAGCAGCCAAAGTACTTGAGACTTCAGTCCAGAGCCCACCAAACAGTTGTCAAAATCTATTCTCATTATCTTCGCAACAATCTGCTTAGGGTGGCCCTGTCACCCCTCAAATTAGAGATGAGGAAACAGGCTCAAGAGAGGATCACACAGTAAGTAACAGCAGGACTGCCCGTCTCCAGATACATCTGCTGTGCTGACTGAGCTAGCTGGGCGGAAAGCTACTTACGTGTGTTCTGCGTTTGTCGTAAGCATCTCCAGAGCACCTCTCACGTTACGGCCCAGCTTTACCCCAGCATCTCAGCACTGGGCTGTCATCCAAGTTCAAATGCTGGTGGTAGAACTCATCAGGACTAAAGGCCAGCTCCATCCTAATCAGGAATAATCAGCAACGGGTTTATCCTTCTTATCCCGCTGATCCTATTATTTCATTTCGTAACTCAAAGTGCGGCTTCTGGAGGCCCAGGGAGTTCAGCCCAGTGGATAAGGATTGTGAGTAGGCTTCACATGGGACCTGCTTTCTTCCTCAGGGAAGTCCCCACTCATCAGCCCTGTTTTGTTTCCTGTTGCTGGCCAAGCCATCTGCCCCACCTGACCACTGCCAGGCTCAACTTAGTTTAAGGAGCTCTTAAGCCTCATCTGAACTCCTGAATCCCTTTGGCCTTTAAACCTCAAGCTAGTGTCTGCTCCCCTCACTCTAGCAGGAGGGGCTTTCTTCAAGTGCTTGGTTTTCCCATGAGAGCCCTGCTTTGCCGTCTCCTGACTCCTGTTTCCAAGGACAGAGGCACATCCAAGGTCGACAAGCTGGTGCTGTGACCCGATATGGCCTGCAGGGGGCAGGACTCACCAGGTCTGAGCAAGTGGGTGCTGGATGAACGAATGCTGCACCTGGCCCTTTAAGACACTGAGGGGGGAGGGCTTTCTAGGTGCCTGGCTCTGGGCCAAACCTTTTTCTTTATTATACCATTGACTCTCATAAGAGCCCTCAGGGAGGCATTACTAGAACCCTTTTATAAATGAAGAGCCTAAAGCTCAGAAAGACCACCGTGTCCTCAAGGTCACATGGTTTCCAAGCAGCAGGGCAAGGTTTGAACCCAAGTGAGTCTGACTGCATTCCAAGCTCTGAACCTTGATCTCAGTGATTTTCACCACTAGACTGATCTATTACACCCAGGTTTCTGGAGAAGCACACAGGTGACCCTCGTCTACAGCCAGCCCTGGAAACCCTGCCTGGTACTCTGCCACCTCTTCGTGTTTCCACCTGTTTACTTAGCGTGACTTGGGTTTGTACCTGGGGCCTAACCCAGGCTTCTCGCTGGGCCCTGGTGAGCTTTGTCTCCTTTTCTTTCTCTTTTTTCTTTCAGCTCAAACTCAGGGGTTCTCTACCACTGAGCTACATCCCCAGCCCTTTTAATTTGTATTTGACACAGGCTCCTGCCAGGTGGCCTAGGCTGGTCTCAAACTCAGTCCTCCTGCCTCAGCCTCCTGAGTAGCCAGGATTCCAGGCCTATATCAGTACACCTGGTTGCTTTTCTAGATTTTTTCCCTATAAGTCTTTCCTGATTGCACCAGACCAAGTTAGATTCCCTGTCTAATATTCTCAGCATTCTCGTGTTTCCCTTCATAGCATTTATCTGAAATGTAGTGAAATAACTGGGTTCATAGCTCCTTTACTCTCTTGCCTGCCTGAAAGCAGGGACCATGTTTATCATGGTCTCTGCAACATTCCCAGAGCCAAGCATAGGGCCTGGCACATACACGCTGGCCAGATGCTATTTCTCTCTTCCACTTGAATAATAACTTATTGTGTCCCTGTCATGCACCACACTCTCCCCTGTGCACTTTATTAGCAAGATAGGGGAGGCCCCTTTTCCATTGAGAGAACTGAAGCTCAGAAGGGGAGGTGATCACCGCCCCGATTCCCGCTTCCCATTCATCGGAGTCTGCTGACTGTGACCCAGCCCGGCCTGGTGAGTGCTTCCTTCTTGCTCTGTTTACACAAGAAGTCTTTGAAGAGGGCGTTTACGTTGGCGGCTGGCTCTTCCCGATCCTGCTCCCTGGCGCCTTCACCCCCTGTCCGGCCCTTTGAGCATCCACTCCCCACGAGGGTGTGCCCCTCCTTCTCCATCCCTTCCTCCGGAGGTTTGGCCCGGACAAGTCTTCTGAGTGAGCCCTGGTTAAACCATACCCTGGCCAGCCGCGGCCCAAAGTGGTGAGAAGCCCCTGGTATTGGAGACAGTCTGGGCCAAACTCCGAACTGCAAGTTTAAGACTTGGTTGCATCAGGAGCTTGGGAGGCTTCTTCCTTCCCTGTTATCTCTGGTGCCCCCTGCTGGGCAAAAAAAATGAACGCAGGAAACAGATGCTTCCTGTCTCTGGCTGGCTCCAGCTGTAGATCTCAAATAGGACATCTGAGGCTTGAGATGAATTCGCGTCAAAACCAGAACCTGGAGAGATGAGGAAGAGTGACGACTTATAAAGCCGCAGCTGTGGAACCTTGAGGAACATTGGTAAAGGGCAATCTTTCTGCTCTGCACCTCAGGAAAGCCTATAGAAGATCCTCACTCGGATTAGGCAGAGCAGGAGGAGAAGGTCTGGAGACTTTGCCCACACCCTCTGTGCCAACATGGCCTCCATCCTGCCTCCTCAGGTCCATCTAAGCTGTCAGCTCAGCTCTTCTGCCAGCCCCCGAGCCTCTTCCCAATTCAGTGATGAGGCAAGTGTGAAAAATGGAGCGTAATAGAGACATCTCGAGATCTCCCAGGCCCTTAACTGCAGTCGCCTGCTCTCCACCCAGCTGGAATTGCCAGAGGCCGATGAGGACGTTTGCCTGTCCAGCTCACTGCTCTTCGAAAGAGGCATCCATCTCCCTTGGGCTTGTGTGTGCATGCATGTGTGCGTGTGTGTGCACGTGCGCGCGCGCGTGTGTGTGTGCACGTGTGCGCGTGTGCACATGCACAGGGCTGTAAGCGATGAAGCACCCGGGCTTTGGAGGTCTAAACTAGCCAGCTTCTCCTTCTGGATCTGCTGGCCTAATTCCCAGCTGCAGCTGCCACCCTGGGTTCCCTCCCCGAGGCGATCTCCCTGCAGATTTGGCAGCCTGGAAAGGAGGGGCTGAGGGAAGGAGAGAGCAGCAGAGAGGACTCTGGCTCTAATCTGATGTAGATGATCCCGCAGGCTTCTCAGCTCAGCTGCCCTCTGTCATCAGCTCTCCCGGCGATTTTCTTTGTGCACTGCACTCTCCCCTACTGCCTTTGTCTCCTTAAGAAAGTGCCCAGAAAGTTAAACCCAGGCACACAAACACATGTACAATCCACCTCCCACCGGGAAAAATAAATCAGAGAGCAAGAACAGGCAGACGAGTAAGAGCACGCACGGAAGGGAGAGGGCTCAGCTCGGTCCTGGAAGAGAGCAACACAGGCAGAGGGAGGCTGGGGTTGGTGGTGACCCGGACTGAGGTCTTCTAGTCCCCAAGGAGCCTCCTTCATGGACCCAGGGATCACAAGAGGGGCTGCCTCAACTTAGGATGGGCAACTGTGTCAAGTCGCCACTGAGACATCTCTCCAGGAAGGTATGTTTCCAGAGTTCCCAAGCCCTGGGACTGAGGACTGGGACATTTTGCCGCCTGTTCCAGAGGCGGATCGTGGCGGGGGTGGGGGTGCGCAGTGGAAGCGTGCTGTCCTTCCCAGGGGTTCTGTCCAGAGCTGCTGCCATGTTCTTCTGGATGCCCACCGATTGCACTTTCTTATATCTTAAGCTCTGAGCTGATGTTGGAACTTAGAGCTGCCAGCAAGGTGGGAAGGGGCAGGGGCAGGGAAGGCTGCCTGTGGGAATTTGCATGGGAGTTCCGAAGGAAACTGCAGCATGGAACGGGGCGGGAGTAGAAGACCCTGCCCAGTACCTGTCCCCTCGGTTCATTCACACCCTGTGAGGATCTGTACCCATCTCTTCTGAATTGAGAGTTTTGAGGTGGATGCTTTGGCTATTGGTAGGAACCAAGCAGGGAACCCTTTTTCTACCCTCAGTAATGCTGGAGTCAGGTCACAGAATCCCAAGGAAGATCAGAATGACTGGTTTCGAGCCAAGGAAATAGGGTGCCTTAGAGCTATGTTGAGCAGGAGTGTACACAAGTCACTTTCCGGGGTACATACTCCCCCTAAGGCATCTCTCAAGCAGGTCTGGGCTCACACCTGGAGGGTTTTGCTTCCGGGGGGCTTATCTTGTGATTCTATGGCCTTTGTAGTCAGGCTGTAGAAGAGACTCATTATTAAAGGAAGAAGGGACAACATACATGTTTTCCTCCCGTTCATCCATCTTCCAGACAAGGAACTTGCTTGCTGCTCAGAGAGGTTAGGTAACACACTGAAGGTCACAGGTGGACGGATGGCTCCTTTACCCGAGCCCCATCCACCTCCTCCATCGGTTTGGTGGCCTCTCAATTTAGGACATTTTGGGCTTTTCTGCCTGTCGGCTTCCTCTTCTGACCAAGCTGCTCATATCACATTCCATTTAATCGTCACTGTTTCTAGAGTCCTTCCACAGGCTGATGCTTTCTTCTGTGTGTCCTCAACCTCCCCCCATCTGTCATCATCTTAAAGGAGTCTTCTGCCTCAGAGGTGGCCTCCATGCTGTTTGAGAGAAGCAGAAACTGATCTGAATTAGTCTAGCGCACCACCGGCCAGTGCTTCGCAGTGGGTTCTGTCCAGAGTTTAAGGAGGGGAATTTAAGAACCAGAACTGACCTTCCGGCTCCTCACCCATCGTCGATGCAGAGTGCTTTAGAGTCACCCTGCTCAGGCCTCCCTTTTCATGTGACCTTGAGCAAGTTACTTAAGCTCTCCCAGATCCTCACCCTTTGTTCATCAGTCGGGGTTATGAAATACCTATCTCGTCAGGTGATTGTGAGGACTAAATAAAGTGCTATGCAGTGCAGAGTGCCTAGTACATAGTAGTCAATAAATGTTAGCATTATTGTCCATTGCAATCACAATTTTTCTACCCTGACCTGTAGGGAGGCAGGATGGAGAAGAAAAGGAAAACAGGAGAAGTTGTTATGTTATTATCATTACCTTAGTGCTGGGATCGAATCCAGAGCCTCATACGTGCTAAACCCATGAGCTATATCCTCACCTGTGTCCCTGAAATAAAGTGAAAGATCATAAAACACTGCATTCAATGTCATGTTTCTCAGAACAGTAGCAATGATTGCTTTTTCCTATTCACAACATTCCCAGCGTCTGCTCTCTCCCTTGCTCTTTTCCACTTAGTAGTTTTCTTTGCTAATTTGGAGAGAAAGGAGCTGGACACAGAGATAAGAACCCTCCTGAGGTCATGTAATCAACACCAAACAGAGCTGGGATTTAGACCCCGGGCTATGTGAAGTCAGAGATGGGATTTTCTTTTTCTTTTTCCCTCCTGAAGAGGCTGCCCTTCTCTCTCCTGCTTTGAGAGATGTTGTCAGAGACTCCTGCATCTGACCTTCGGGGTCATGTTGTCCAGATTCCCACTTAGTGCAAGCAGTCCCTTCTTCCTTCTCCCCGTGCTTACATCCTTTGACTTCTCCTTGAGCCCTCAGGGAGAGGGAGTTCGGAGTCGTGTGATCTGTCCAATTTGTGCTGTTAGAAAGCTGTAAGGTCGTGAGGGATGCTGGCCCTTCCTCTTACCACAGCATGCCCAGGACGTGTTCCTTCAGGGCCGAGCAACATTGTCAGCGGTAGCTTGGCTTCCTGAGTGGCAGCTGGGGAACTCGGCAGTAATGGGGGGCCATGGCCCGCTCCAGGCTCTGAGTTGGGCAGCACTGGGCTGTTGGGTGCCGTCGCTGACTGGAGAAGAAGTACAGCTTCTGGGGGCAACTTGGCACCAGGCAGTGTCATGATCAAGAGATGCGGTGGAAATTCCCCAGCCAGCCCTGGCTCAGTCCTCGTGGGAACAGATTCCTCCCCATCCTTCTCATTTCCTTCCTGATTGGCAGATGCTCCCCGCTTCCCCTGGTGCAGGGAGTAAGTGCCTTTTGGCACCCAGCATCTCAGACTGCATCACTACCGCCGGCACCATCATTGTCACTGTCATCATTGTCATTGTCATCGCTATGACAACTCCATTTATTTGGCTTTTACCGTGTTCTAGACACTATGCAAAGCACTTTCTGAGCCGTAGCTCATTTATTTCTCACAAAAATCCTCCGAGTAGACACGACTATCTCCACTGTACAAAGAAAGAAACTGGAGCACAGAGAACTGAAGTGACCTGCCCAAGGTCACGCAGGAAGCACATGGCAGGGACAGAACTTGTCCCTAAGACTGTGTCCAAAGCCAGCATATTAAACCGCCTCCCAGAGATCTGTGGTGCCTGCTGCCTCCTCCTTCCTGGATTATGTTCATTCTGAGCTGAGTGTGTGAGATTCAGCCAGAAACGAAACAAATCTGATTTTCTGCAAATATCTCCTGAGATTGTTCCCTGGGGTTAGGCCGTATCCAGTCCCAGGCTTCCGTCAGTGCCTGCTCCGGGTTGGGAAGGTCTCTCTGGGTCTGTGTCTGGGGCCTGAAGTGTGAGCGAGTGCAGAAGAAGCTCTGAATCTTCCCTCTTCAGGGCATCAAGCTAGAATGAGTCGTTGGTCTATCTGGTGATCTCTCAAGTTCCGTGACTTCCTAAAACTGACCCTTCTGCTCGTTGAGTTTGAGGCTTTAACCGAGTTCCTTCTCCTTGGGTCTGAATCACTGTTCTCCTCTGAGGAACTAGAATACTGCTCCTCCCTCTCTAGGACTGGAAAGGAGTCTCCCTCTGATGCCCCCTGGCAGAAGGGCTTGGGGGAGAAGCATGAGAAGACGGGTGGGGGCTCGGTTTGGCAGGACAGGCTACCCTTGGTCTCGAGATCCCCTCCTAGGCATGGCCTTCAGTGAGTGAAATGGAGTGAACTGGGGCCGGGGATTTAGCTCAGCGGTTCTGCTGCCTGCCTCGCAGGCACAAGGACCCGAGTTCGATCCCCGGGACCAAATAAATAAATAAAAAGGAAATGGGGTGAACTGGATGGGAGGGTAGGGCATGCAGCTCAGGGTTCTCAGACTAAGACGGCCCTCAGGAGTTTGGCTACTCTGTCCCTCCTTGGAAAGAGTCTGCCTTAGGTCCTCTTGGTGAGGGGAGACCATCCAGCGCAGGGCTGAGGACAGAGCCGTGACCTCAGTTCTGGAGAGGCACTGAGCATTCTGGGGAGCCAGGGTGGGACCTAATGTTGTGTCTGGATGCTGCTGGGGTCCTGCGGGGAGGTCTGTGGGCAATGCTGACTTTTTATAGTTGCGTGGGAACCTTCCGTGAGGAGGATGGATTGGCCAGAGCCTGGGAGCATAGCTATATTCGGTCAGCAGACAAGGCCCCTGCCTCAGCCTCTGGAGGTCCAGCAGCCTGGGCAGGGAGCCAGGGAAGGCGGGCGATAGGGAAAGAACTTCTGGGAGCCTGTCTGATCCTGAGGTCACAAGCGGGGTGGAATCCAAGTGCAGGCGTGTCTTCTTCAGCCCACCTGGTGCTTTGGATCAGGACAGCTGGCAACACTGGGCTTGAGCTAAGTGGCGCTGCCCATCTCAGGGGGCACACGGTGTCCATTTTGTCCCAGTCCCCCGTCGGTCCACCTGCCTTCTTCATTTATGGCCGCAATAGCACCTATGTTTATAACCTGAATTCCAGCAAACCAGCTCAGCACGTTCTCCACGTTGCCAGCTCCGATTGCTCTCCCAGCCTCCCAGGAGGATCCCACTGGGGTGGGGTCAGAGCCCACGAGGGAGCTGGGAGACAGGACGTAGCCTCGGGGATTGAGCTGGGACTCCCGGAACATTTGAGGGAAAGGACATTGCTTTGTTGTGCTTTGAGGGAACGTTTCCCATTGGTTAGGACAGAGTTTCCCTCTGCTTGCTTCTCTGCCTCAGCTTCTGCAAGCACCGGAGTGTGATTCTGTGCTTACATATAGGTCAGTGTGCGTGTGCGGTGTGTGTCCGTGTGCATGCGTGACACAGACAGCATCACCCCCAGCTCTCCTTGGAACAACTTCCAGTCGAGGATCAGTGTCAGTGTCTCCACCTGTGTGACTGCTGCGACGCCCAGCCCTGTGCACCCTGAGGCTCTTGTAACCCACAAGCATCTTCTCTCAAGGAGACTCCTTCCGGGACCAAGAGTCAGGCTGGGCCAGGAGAGCCTACGTGGGCAAGGAGGTGATGGCCTGCTTCTCTTTTGCATTTGCTTGGTGTGGGCTGCAGATGCACCAAGAGGAAATGAGCAACTACATGGCGGTGCAGACCAGCGAGGAGGGGCTGGTGGCCAGCGGTGAGCTCCCCGGACCACTCCTGATGCTGGCCCAGAATTGCGCCGTCATGCACAACCTGCTCGGCCCAGCCTGTATCTTTCTTCGCAAGGGCTTCGCTGAGAACAGGCAGCCTGTACGTAAGTTGGCCCAGTGGCGCTCGCTGAACTTGGTTTCACAGGGCACGTGGAGGCACCGGGAAGAAGCGGGGGTTCTGTTCCCAGCACTTCCTGTACCCGGTGGATTCTCCTCAAGTCAGATCCCCAAAGTTCCCCCTTTTTGGTTGCAAAGTGAGTCCATGTTCACCAGCAAGAAATAATGCTAGCAGATAAAATTCTGTGGAGCGCTTACGATGTGCCAGGCACTGGGCTGAATGTGTTGGTGGACGGCCTCACTCAATCCTCAGCAACTCCGAGAGGTAGGTACTTTTGTCATCCCCATTTTACAGACGAGGAAACTGAGGGACCAGATAGGCTATGTAGTCTAACAAATAGTGTGACCTAAGAGCCTCCTGCTTGGAATAATTCTGGACATGCACCATTGTCCAGTAGTTTTCTACCGTGATAGAAAGACACTTAAAATCCGTGCTGTCCGTTACAGTAACCACTAGCCACATACAGCTGTTGACCCCTTGAAATGTGTCTAGAGCTACAAAGGAACTGAATTAATTTAATTTAAAGAACCACACGTGACTAGTGCTGCTATATTAGACAGCCTTCTGTGAAGAGTCTTAGGGAGGAGGGAGAGGCTGATGTTACAGAGGCAGCTTTTGCAGGTTGCAGTTATTAAATGCCACGCGCTAAATACTTTACGTGTCTGGTCTTACAGAATGTGCATGAAGGTGTGCGGGGTTGGTCCTAGTATCAGCCCATATCACTGTGGTTCAGAGAACGGAAGTGATCTGCCCACGGTCACACAGCTGGGAAGTAGCAGACCTGGGATTGGTACCTGGATCTGTCTGACTCTGGGGCCCACGCTCTTCTCCCCAGCTGTCTAAATTGCGGGAAAGGAAAGGAAAGTGCGCGCGCTTCATTCCCGCTGACCGCCCTGCGGGGGCACGCAGCTTCCCTGCCACACCGGCAGGCGTCTGCGTCCAGCTGTCCCGAGCTGAGCTGTCCGGAGCACAGCACACCCCGATACTGCTCTCCACCAAGCAACGCTCACCAGGGCTCCTGCCACAGGTGCCCTGGGCAAGGAGTCTCCCTGCTGCCCCCTGGGCTCTGAGCATACAAGAGGCATGGAAGGAGCTGTAGCGCGAGTCAGCAGCACCCATCCTGCCACTCCTGTGCTCTGGAGAAGTTGCAGGCAGCTCGGAGGCTGATGGGGGGAAAGAAGCTGGTCATAGCGGGTAACCTCTGCATAGGTGTGTGTGTGTGTGTGTGTGTGTGTGCGCTCGTGTGTGTGCGTGGGTGTGCACTCACACCCACGCACACACACATGGCTGGTCCTCGTCCCATGAGTTCTGTGGATTCAACCAACTATAGATTAAAAAAAAGAAAAAAATTTTTTTCATTCCTGGAGATTGAAGCCAAGGGCCTTTATAATGAGGTATATCCTCAGGCTCTCCCATTTTTGTTTTTAGTTTTTAATTTTTGTTTTAATTTCTTAAATATAAAGATGGAAGTTTATTTCCTCACAGTTCTAGAAGCTGAGAAAGAAGTCCAGTATCAGGATGCTGGTGCTCGTGTCTGTGAGGCCTGCTTTCTTGTTTGTTTTCATTTTGAGACAAGATCTCTCAGTTGCCCAGGCTGGGCTCAAACTTGGAGTGTTCCCGCCTCAGCCTCCCAGAGTGCTGAGATTATAAACATGTGCCACCACGCTGGGCTTCAAGACTATTTTTTAAAACACCGCATGCATGCAGAGCACGCACAGACTACTTTTTCTCGTTGCTATTCCCTATGCAGTACAGTAGAACAGCTATTTACATAGCATTCACAGTGCACTAGGATGACGTAAAGCGCCTGGGAGGATGTGCATAGGTTATATGCAAACGACACACCGTTCAGGGAGTCTTGGAACGCAGCCCCCACCAAGACTGAGTGACAGCTGTACTCATTCACTTTCACTTACTGCTACCGCAGCACATTGAAAAAAATCATCGTTTGGGGCACCTGAGAAAGTTTAGGAACATAGCTGCCTGCCTAGAACAGTACACCCTTGTGCCAAACACTACCGAGGAGTCTTTTAAGTGAAAGGCCCCCCGGCAGCAACCGCCTCGCAGAGACAAAGGTCCCTTTGGGCGACTCCTTCGCTCTGCTAGAAAGGTGCCTGGAGCACCTGGGAGCCAGCAGGCCGCCATCCAGGCTCACACGTACTCTCAACAGCAAAGCCGCTGCTGGAGGAGCCCCACGGCTCCAGCGGCCTGCAGAGCGCCTGTGTTCTGGATGCAGGTGCCCGCAACTTTTGAGTCACCTGCGGCGGCCAGACCTGCCTCACGTCCTTCTCTCCCAAAGGCAGAGGCCCGGAACACAGGCACCTGTATCTATTCCATTCCAATCTATCTCCTGGCCAGGCCTGGGGCACCATCTGGAGCCTGCGCCTGCTTCCTGTGGGCCTGCTCTTTGGAGACTTCTCTGCCATCTGTTCTGATGCCTGGACCCAGGGTTTCCTTGGCTCCCGAGGAGACCTGGGCCCTGCTGGAGGCTAGAGGTGTGTGCTTTGGGACCTGGCAGCAGCCAGAGACACTGGCTGCCCCCAAGTCCTATGCTGTGTCCTGTGACAGGACGAGTCATAGGGGTAGGGGTCGAAGAGGAAGATGAGGTGCGCTCAGGAGGCAGGGCATAGTCCCAGTCTGCCTCCCTGCTGCCAGCTCCTTCTCCTTCCCTCTGGGGCTGCCTTGCAGTCTCCACTTTCTCCCCCCACCGCACCTCTTCTCTCATTGCCTTGCAGGCTTCCCCTCCCAGGCTCCTTCTGGTGTCACTGGGTGGTATTCTCTTCTCTCTGGTGACCTCCCAGACACAGTTTTATTTACAGGTTTTCCTCTGGACTGGCTCTGTTCTAGGCCCATTCCTGCACGTGGAATAAGGGTCTGGGGGATGCGGAGATTCTATGCTCGGGCTCTGGGGCAGTGTTGGGTCCTGGAGTCCCTCTTGTCTGGGGCTGGGAGCTTCTGTGTCTGTGGGACATGTGGGGCTGCAACTTTTCCCTTCAAGGACACGGTCAGACAAACTTCTGCTCTGTTCCCATCAGCTCCCACCCAGATGCCACTGGATGGGCATCTTGTCATTTCCAAGTCCCTGACCGCTGCTATTTCTTCTGTTTCAGGATAGATCACTGCGGCCGGAAGAGATCGAAGGTAAAACTTGGATCTTGGGAGAAGGGGCTGCTTAGCCCTCCAGGAATGTGTGGGAGGGAGGTCAGTGGGAGGAAAGGCAGAGACACCCTGGCCTGGGATCAGGAGACAGACGGGACCCGCTGTGGCGCAGCCCCTGGAGGAGTTGCCCCTGGAGCAGCAGAAGACCCTTGAGTCCTGGAGAGCTCAGGGTGCACCTCTCCCAGTGGCTGGGCCCTGGGCCACCTTTGTCACCAGAGACACTGGGGTCTTACCACCGACCCCGTCCACTTTGTCCCCTTCCCCAGAGCTCCGAGAGGCCTTCAGAGAATTCGACAAGGACAAGGATGGCTACATCAACTGCCGGGACCTGGGCAACTGCATGCGCACCATGGGCTACATGCCCACCGAGATGGAGCTCATCGAGCTGTCCCAGCAAATCAACATGAACTGTGAGTCCCTCCACCAGGCATCTCTTCCCTTCTGCTCACACAGGCCTGGGTTCCAGTTCTGCACTCATCTCCTTCCAGCTGTGTGACCTGGTGGAAACTACTGACCCTCCAATTCCAAACCTGTCAAATGAAGGTTGCAATCAGGGAGAGGAGCACAGGAAGTAAATTAGCGAATACACGTCAAAGAGTCCAATACTGTACCTGGCTGGGAACACAAAAGCATCAGAGAGAGTAGGGCGTGGTGGTGCACACTTGTAATCCCAGTTACTCGGGAGGCTGAGGCAGGAAGATGACATATTTGACTTCAGCTTGGACAATTCAGTGAGACCCTGCCTCAAACTAAAAAAAATTAAAATGGGCCAGAGATGTGGCTCAGTGGTAGAGAACCCTTACTTCAATCACCAGTGCTAGGAAAAAAAAAAAAAAAGGCTCGCCACGAACCAGCCGGAAGTTTGCATTAGGATCCAGGAATAAACTCAGTTCATGCTGAATAAAACAGGAGGAAACACGTAGAGGCGACACCGTGTCAGATGTGTGGCAACAACCATAAGGACGCAGTTGCGGTCGTGTTTTTCCTCTCGACAGGGTTGTGAGTGCAAGGTGTTTGGAGGTGAAGGAAAGCTTCTCCGGGAGTGGGGAGTGAGGCAGGGAGGGAGGGAAGGGGTCTGCACAGGGTGCGCTCTCAAGCCAGCTGCATCTCTGGATGGCTGGAGGCTGAGCTCAGGGAATTGCTCCAAGTTCCCCCCTGGCCCACCTCTGCGGCTGGGTTATCCCCCGACACCTGTCAGTCAGTGGTTGAGAAGCTCTGTGAGTAGGTCAGTGGGCCTCAGCTCTCTGGTCCTTCTGCCTCTGGAGAGAGCCACTGGGAGCTGAGTTTGCCTCTGCTCAACAGTGGGGAGGCTGGGGGCGGGGGGGCCAGGGGCTCAGGGCTTTTCCTCTCCGCCTTTCAGGGTGTGTGTCAGTGTCTTCCTCCCCGCCGCGTCTACTGCCTCCACTTCCTGACCTGTCCCCTTTCTCAACCCGGCCACTCCCCTGAGCCAGAATTTGACCTGTCACCTATCTGCGGTCGCTTCTCTGTGCTCATTTGGCCTTTGCTTGCTTATACCCTGGACCTCAAGACCGGCAGATCAGGAAGGGGTGGCAGTCCCGGCACCCGCCCGGGTGGATGCGTTGAGGGTGACCTGGCCCTTCCTCTTGCTCCAGTGGGTGGCCATGTGGATTTTGATGACTTCGTGGAGCTAATGGGGCCGAAACTCCTGGCAGAGACAGCGGATATGATTGGCGTGAAGGAGCTGCGAGATGCCTTTCGAGAGGTACGTGAGGGCCAGGGGCCGGCGGGGAAGGGCAGCCCGTTTGAGTCCCAGTCCCACGGTGGCTGCTTGTAAAGAAGCCTGAGCCCTGGGCCCCAGACCGGGGGAAGGAACTTGGACAGAGAAGGGACTTGGGGGAAAGAGGGACCCTGGTGGCGAGGAAGGATCTCCACATTGGGATCTGCTGTTTCCAGTCTCCGTGCCGTGGCTCCATCCCCTCCCTCCTGCCCTCTCTAGTTTGACACCAATGGCGACGGGGAGATAAGCACCAGTGAGTTGCGGGAGGCCATGAGGAAGCTCCTGGGCCATCAGGTGGGACACCGAGACATAGAGGAGATTATTCGAGACGTGGACCTCAACGGGGATGGACGAGTGGACTTCGAAGGTGGGTGAGGCTTGACAGTGGTGGGCGTGCGTGGAACCCTCTACCTGGGTATCCGTCGTGTAGTTGCCAATCCCGCCAAGCTCGCGAGTGCCCTGCCCGCGTGCCTGTTTCTCCATCCCCCATCTCTGAATAAGTCCTGTTCTCTGCGTTGCCTCCCCAGTGCTGATGGGAGCTGCAGTCCAACCAACCCTGAAATTTCAGAGAACGAGGAGCTCTCTTTTTTGATCTCTGTATTTCCTGCACCTGACACATAGCTAATTTCAATGAGTTTTTAAAAAAGAATTAATAATCACAATCGCTATCATTTATTGCACACTTGTGTACAAAGTAAATGTACGTATATTATCTCATTCAACTGCACAGTGACTCTGGGACTGTACTATTATTGCTTCCTCTTACAAATGAGGGAACAGATTCAGAGACGTATTACAGCTTGCTTCAGACCGGCTGTTCGGAGTCAGAGGCCTGCACAAACCCAGGCCTGGACTCTCATCCGCTATGAAATCTTGTTCAGGGAACCATTCCAGATACAATGGGACATGGGACAAAAAAGTAAAATGCTAAACCTGCATTCCAGGAACTTGCCTTCTGAGCAGAAAGACGAGATAAACATGGGCCGGAGTGTAACTGTATCCAGAACACAAAGTTGGGAGGCCTTTGGGGAAGTAATTGGCCTTCGGGGTGGCGGAGGAGACTGGATGGATGAGGACAGTGGCTGCACTAGCATCAGTCCTGAGGAGCCTCGGGTCACCCTGTGTCACGTAGTCTGCCTGTAGAAAGCCTGGCAATGCCCACTGAGTCTACCAAGATGTCTGTCTTGTGCACCAGCTCTGTACTGAGCATCGGTCCCTACCTTGAGGAGCCCAAGACCAGCAAGGAAAAGAGAAGAACAGTGGCGTCTGTGCTGCGTTGGGGGAATAGGGTAGGGTATGGAGTGTGGAGGGGGACCCTGTGCCAAGCTGGGGAAAAGGAGGGAAGAAGAGGTTGCAAATGAGCAGGGGCCCTGCCGCATGGGTGGAAGCCACCAGGAGGAGAAGGAGGGGCATTTACCCAAATGAGTTGAAAGCTTATTTCCACATGGAAACTTGCTCATGGATGTTTAGAGCGGCTTTCTTCATGAGTGGCAAAACTTGGAAGCAACCAAGGTGTCCCTCAGTAGGTGAATGCATAAACACACTGAGGTGTGTCGAAGACAGTGGAATCTTTTTTGCCATTAAAAAGTACTGAGCGATCAAGCAGGCGAAAACTCAGAGGAACCTCACAGGTGACTGAGTGAAAGAAACGGATCTGAAAAGGCTACTTACTCACTGTATGACTCCAGCCCTGTGACCTTCTGGGAAAGGCAAATCTATCGAAGAAGGAAAAAGATCAGGGGTCGCCAGGAGTTGGGACAAGGGGAGGGATAAATAGGCAGAGTATAGAGGATTTAGTCAGTGAAGCTACTGAGTTTGACACCATAATAGTGGATGTGTGTCATTGTATGTTTGTCTAAAACCGTAAAATGGACAACACCGAGGGCAAATAGTAAAGGTTAGAGGGCTCAGTTGCCGGGAATTTAGTTGCTGCCCACCTGACAAACGCAAGGTTCCAAGTTTGATCCCCAGTACCAAAAAAGTGGGGGTCAGGATGGGTGCACGCATCCAAGTGTACTGCTCTGGGGTGCGATGCTGACAGCGGGGAAGGCGGTGCATGTCTGGGGCAGAAGGGATAAAGCAGGGAAATCAGTTTTGCTGGATCCTAAAACTACTCAAAAACACAAAATGTAGGGGGAAAAAAGAAGGGAGGGCGCCAAGGATGCAGGAAAGCTGAGAGACAGCAGGGGTGGCGGAAAGCACAGGCCGTCTGAATTCTGCAGATGAGGTTTGTGCGGTCGCGTCATAGATTGGGGGTTTTAGAGGGGCCAGATCAGGCGAGGGCCTGAGGCCGCCTGGGAGCATCGACATTGCGGAGGCTGCTGCAGAGCTCACCGGACAGATCAGAAGCCGTGTGGAAGAGAGGTTGGAGGGGCAGAGTGGGTGTAGGGCCCAGTGCAGTCCTGGGCTAGACCCTGACTGCTGCTGTTTCCCCGCCACTCCTGTACCCTTGCAGAGTTTGTCCGGATGATGTCCCGCTGAGGCTCAAGGGCCCCACCAGGACTGCCAAGCACCCCAGGTCGGGAGGGGAGAAGAGCCGGAGAGGCAGCCGCCCCGAGCCCAGGAGGTACTGGCGGATGGGGCCTGCCTGCACCCGGGGGAGGTGCCCCCGGACCCCCACCCCTCCGCACTGTGAAAGACACGCAACTCCTGCAACTGGAAAACGGGGCGCCCACCAACGAGGAGGCCGCAGTGCCAAGCCGGCAGAGGTCGTGCCAGGCGCCAAGTGCCACGTACTCAGCCGCTGCTGGCTGGGTGGGCCAGGGAGCCCGGCAGCAGACCCCACACAGCATGTCTGCCCCAGGGCAAAGCCTGTCGCTGCCCTCCTTAGCTCTGTGCCCCAGCCCTGTGATCTCAGAACCAATAAAAATATTTCCAAGAGAATGACAGCTGGGGTGGTCTTGGCTTCTTGGCCTGGTTAGACAATGCACGCATTTCCTGAGCACCACTTACGGGCCCAGAGCTGGTTGAACTTTCCTGCATGTATCACACATTCGTCGAGTAAGTATGATATACCCAACAACTTCCATTCTCACTGCAGAAGCCAAATCCTGGCGCCTCTCCCTACAAGGGAGACTGAGGGATGTTATTCAGCTGAGCATGCAGGTACCCTGTTCACCAGTTTCTGTAAGAGGAGGGTGACTAGTAGGGTCTGCACCGTATCTGGCTTCCAGGAGTGCTCGTGTTGGTCAGGGAAACGGACACGACAGTATGTGATTACAAATGGGGAGCCTGCTGTAAAGCAGAATGCTGGGACCTCTGGCAGATCTGATACCTGGCCTGCTCTAGGGAGATGGGGAAGGATTTCCTGAGGAAGTGATGACAAGCACTTTGCCCTGGAGGAAATCCCAGAGTGTGAGAGGAGACAGATGTTGAAACAGCTGCCATCTCCCACTGAGATGGAAAGCAGGATGTCCAGTGGTCAGACCGCGGGGTTGGTCTGCTGCGTGACTTAGGGCCAGTTGTGTCCCCTCTCTGAACCTGTTTCCTCATGTGCCTGTCCCAGCTCACCGCAGCCCTGTGATCTCAGAACCAAGAGAAATGTGGGGCTAATCAAGGATAGAGTCAGGACAGAGTAAGCACACTTGGGGTATTGCATTGTGTCCTTCCGGGGCTGCTATTCTCAAACGCAGCGGAACTGTGCCACGTGAGAATATCAGTTAGATCCATTATAATCATTGTAACTAATTCCTACCGAAGAAGGACTGAAGGAGCCAGGAGGAGAAGTCTGGAAGCTTCTCAGGTTTGAGGGACGCTTGGGAAGGTAATGTATGGTGGCCCGTGTGGTCCAGCCATGGGTTCTCTGCCTTAGCATGTGTAAGAATGGCCTGGAGGATTTCTTACACCACAGATCCGGGCCTCACTCCAGTGATTGTGGCTCCATATCTGCATCTCTAACAAGTTCCCAGAGGATGCAGAGGCTGCCAGTTGGTGAACCACAGTGTGAAGAGTTCTGCTAAAGAGGTCCCAGGCATGTGGAAGGCAGGTGTGTGTCCAGGCAGCTTGGATGGGCTGTGGGGCTAGACGCTGGAGCCTCCCTGCCCGCTGTGCTACAGCAGAGGGAGGATGCTCATCCTCAGACCGGGCAGCAGATATGGGAAGGACCGTGGACCCCAGCCAGGGGCCTGGGGGATCCCCGTGTCCCTGAGGCCCATGAGGCTGGGTGCTCCAAATTCATTCTAATAATCCAATTCTGAGGCTAAGCCCTTGGCTCTGTGCCCTTCTAGGCAGGCCTGCAGCCCTTCCTACTCCCATATCAGCTTAGCTCTGCCCAGAGACTCCAGATCTGAGCTGTTTCACAAACAAAATGCCCTTGGTGTGAGGGAGGGCAATCTGTGGGCATCTCTGTGAGCAGGCAAGGTCAGCCCCTGGGGCACCACGGGACAGGGCACAGGAGTAAGCTACGACGCCTCTGTCCCCAGTGTGTGGCCTTCCAGAATAACGGACGCAGCAGCTGAGGTTATAGCCGGGTCTCTCTTCAGAGGAACCTCAGAGCTCAGGACAAGGGGAACCGGGAGCTGGGCTTCTGCCTCCCCCCTTTGGCTTGTGCTGCAGTTTAGGGCTCCTAGCAAGATTGTTCGAAGAGTGTTGTGACTTTTCAAGAACCGAGATGCACTTCCCTAGCTAGGAATTCTTTCTGTCCCCCTGCACCCCTGCTTTAATAGTTTCCCTGGTGGGGAGCCCCATGGACCATCTAAGAAGAACCCTTATTGCTAGAAGGAACTTAAACTTAGCCTGATTTTCTTCCTTGGGATTTGTAAAGTCTAATTCATTCACTTGTTCATGCTTGCATTCCAGTGATACTTATTTTGTTGGTACTGGGCGTGGAACCTAGGGCCTCATGCATGTTAGGCCAGCACTTTAACACAGCTTTATCCTCAGCCCCCACTGATATTTATTGAGCCTCTACTATATCCCAGGTATTGTACCAGGGTCTCTGTCCTCAAGGAGCTCGGACTCTGTAGTGGAAACAGATAAGAAAACAGACAAGCTGGGCGAGATGGTGCATGCCTATAATCCCAGCACTTGAGAGACTGAGGCAGGAGGATCACCACGAGTTTGAGACCATCCTGGGCTATCTAGAGAGTTCCAGGATAGCCTGAACAGCCTTTCAAGACCCTGTCTCAAAAACAAAAACAACAAAAAAAACCCAACAAAAAATAGACAAGGGTAATGTACTAACTAGGCTAGCCTTGGTGCCCGAGGGTACAAAAAAGGCTCCCTCTTTTAACCAGGCATAGTGGTAAACATCTGTAGTCACACAACTCTGGGAGACTAAGGCAGGAGGATTGAAAGTTTGAGCCCAGTGTGGGCAATTTAGCAATTTAGTGAGACCCTGTCTCAAAATGAAAAAAGAGCGCCAGGCTCAGTCTCCAGTACCACACACACCAGAGATAGGTGCCCATTCCGTTCTGTGGGGAAGGGGAGAGGGAGGAGGAGGGGCGGGTTTGCTGAGCTGTGATGGGTAAGCAATGTGCAGTCAGAAGAGGTGGGCAGGAAGTGTGTTTATGGCAGAGGGAGCAGCATGTGCAAAGGCCCAGAGAAAAGGGACAGCCGAGCCTCCCTGGAAAACAAAACAGAAGTCCATCTGTCCGTGTCCTGGCCTGGGGAAGGAACAGAGACAGGTGACACTCAACAAGAAGGCAGGGCCCAAGGCCACTGCAGACCACAGGATATGGGAGGCTCAGGTGGGACCCCTGAGGATCTACCTGCCTCCTTATTTCTGAGTCCACCACAGCAGGAAGTGTGGGGCCTGTGACAGATCTGTGCAGAGGGTGGCAGAAATCCAGGGCCGCCGGAGGGAGCCAGGAAGCATCCTGTCACAGTGCCCCAGAACACAGGCTCAAGCCAGGCTTAGCACACACCTGTAAACGCCACTGCTCCGGAGGCTGGGGCAGGTGGATCTCAAATTTGAGGCTTGCCCGGGGAGCTTAGAAAGACCCGGTCTCAAAATAAAATAGAAAAGATTGGAGGTGTATCTCTTGGAGGTGTATCTCCGTGGTAGAGAGTGCCTAGCATGCACAAGCCCCTCAATCCTCGGTTAACAACAACAACAACAACAAAGAGCGTGCGCTCTGATTACAAATGGAACGGTAGACATTAAGTGCCCGGATGGAAAGGCACCAACACCGCCTCCTGGGGCCTGCAGAAGAATCTCGTTTGCATCTGATTTGCCTTGAGATGCTGCAGGCAGTGGGAAGGAAATTCTATGGCAGAGGAACACATCAGCAGCAAGATCCAGATTGGGAAACTACACCCATCACTGATTAGGATTCTTCAACGGATCAAGAGTAAGAAACAAAAAGGGATGGAGGGGAATTAAGAGCTCAGTGGTGGAGCACTTGCCTAGCACGTATGAGGCCCTGGGCTTCCATCCCTTGGAACCGTCTCTCTCCCTCTCTCTGTCTCTAGGAAAAAAAAGTAGAAGAGACTTAAAAGCAAGTTAGAAGAAAATGGGCCCAACTGAATGACAGTGATAGTATCCAGGGATATGTACTTGGGTGGAAAAACCATAAACATGCAGGGATTTTTATTACAAAGGTCAGGACAGCAGTTGCTTTTGGGAAGAGGGGAGGGACAGCCATGGGGTCTCGGGGTGGGGTGGGGTCTGTTCTACTTCTGGACCAGTAGGTGGTTAAAATGGTGTTTGGCTTCTAATAATTCACTAGGCTTCCTCTTTGTTCTGTGCGTTTTCCTATTGCCTTGTCTCATAATAAAAAGGCTTTTTTTAAAAAACCCAGTAAAGACTCAGGAGCCAGGAACATGGGTTCAAATCCTAGCTCTGCCACTTACGAGCTTACCCACCTGGGTAAGTTATTAGCCCCTTTGGGTCTCAGGGTTGTCACCAATAAGATAGGGATGATGTTACAGGGTTCTGAAAACCAAACAAGATAGTACACTTAGCTATCCCATGGATTCAACCAACCACGGATCAAAAATATTTGAAAAAAATTTTTTGAAAAAAGCAACCCCGGTGTGGTGCTGCACACTTTTAACCCCAGAACTCTGGGAGGCAGAGGCAGGAGGCTCACAGGTTTGAGTCCAACCTGGGCAGCTTTAGCACCTTGGCAAGACCCTGCCTGAAAATGAAGGATAAAAAAAAATGACGGGATGTAGCTCAGTGCAAAGATTTTGGGTTCAATCCCCAGTACTATAAAACAAACAAAAAAATTGTTTTGAAAAATAAAATTGTGGAGCCAGGGATTTAGCTCAGTGGTTCTGCTGCCTGCCTCACAAGCACAAGGTCCTGAGTTTGATCCCTGGTACCCCCCCCCAAACAAAAAGAAAGAAAAAAAAAAAAAGAACAAGAAGAAAATTGTATCTGTACTGGACAAGTGAATGTGATATACTCTAATGACCCCCTAAGCAACACAGTAAGACAACTACTTACATTGGGTAGCACACGTAAACTAGAGATGACTGAAAGTATGCAAATACTGTGCCATCTTGTAGAAATGACTCGAGCATCTACAGGTCTTGGGGGACCAGCTCCCCATGGATATCCAGGGACAACTGTATAGGACAGGCAGACAGGCAGCATGGTGACAGTTTTTTGTTTGGGTACCGGGGATCGAACTCTGGTCCTTGTGCTTGCCAGACAGGCAGTGGAACCACTGAGCTAAATCCCCAGCCCTGGTGACAGTTTTTACTGCTATTACGGCTGCTGTTGATACTCCCTGGTTGCCTCTTTCACCTCTGTGTCCATAGGCCCGTTGGTTTCCTCTCAAGGAAAGGGCAAGGGAAAGTCCGGCATGGCATCCTTTACTGGATGTGCCAGAAGTGCTCATTGACAGTGACAAGATAATCACGGCTTAAATGTGGGCTCCGGCTCGATGACCAGGGAGTGGCTGCCTGCGCCACATGCTGCTGCCGGTGGCTCTGATCCTCTGTGTCTGCAGCCCTGGTTGCC